ACAATTTTGAAAGGCTAAACCTTTGACAAATGAGTTGTTTTGCTTTAATTAATTTAAAAAAAAAATCAGTACGCTTGTCACATTGACAAAACAAGCCACCAAAATGTAAAACATATGACATTTAAAAATAATAATAACAACAACAGAAGAGTTATTTTTTTCTCATTTCGGAACCCTTTTAATCTGTTCAACAGAACAACCTTGTCATGTACATACATGTATGTATATAATTATGAAAAACAATCATGATGCTGTTTTGTTTTGCTTTCATATATGTATTATTATTATTATTTTTTTTTTAAATCATCTTTTATGCCAAAGGATGAATATGACAAGTATGCTCACACACACACACCACACAACCATAGAGCAAGGATTGTTTTACGTCCCAATTGGTTAAATAACCCTTGATGAAATACATACATATGTATGCATAGCTACTCATACTCATGTTTTCACAACATCCATATCACATAACACATATCACAAAGGACATGTATAAATATGGTACTTGTTGTAGTATAATTATATACTTGTGATCTTTGAACAATAAATGTGTGTGTACGAGTGTCTGTCTGCATTTGTCTTGTCTGAGTGGTGTTGCTTGAGTGGCGTTGTAATTCATAATGAATAATTAGCCTTTGGGATAATTTGATTTTTATCAAAATATAAAAAAAAAAAAAACAAAAGCATGGCCTTTGTAAATGAAAATTTTGAATTAAACATATATATATAAAAATAAAATCTTTAATTATAAAAGGGACACCTCAGAAATATCAATAGCATTACTGGTTTTCGAAATCTTTTTAAAAGAAGCCTAGCCATGATACAAACATAAATTAAATTGTATGAAGGTGATTTGGAAATGTGTACTAAGTGTGCGAATTGTACAAAATGTATAGAGTTGAAAATCTGATATTTTATATTACGATAACTGTTGGTGTCTAGGATTAAGATATGGAACGGTTTTGCAAATGAGTACTAAAATTGTACGAAAAACACTAAATGGTATTAATTTTGGATCACTGTCTTTGTCTAGGATGAAGGGATGCAGATTGTTTTGGATATTTGTACTAAATGTTACTAAATTTGGCATTGGGTGAAGGTATAGAGTTGAAGTTCTGACATTTATTATTGAGGTCACTTTTGGTTTTGGAAAAATTGGATGTTGGTCCATGTAGTTTTACTGATATCTTCCTCGGTCAACGGAATTTTTCTAAATAAATTTAATAGGAAAACAACACAATTTCTAGACAAGGACGAAATCCCATGACACCATGGTATGGCCAATGCATAAAAAACTGAATCGGAAACAAGTAAAAAAGCAGCTAAGTTCGGCCGGGTTGAATTTTTTATACCCTCCACCATTTGGAACAAACTTGAAAACTTTCAAAAAAAATTTCGTCGGAAAATACCGCTCATACGTGGTTATGAATAAGTAATTTGTGTCATAGGTTGTTTAGCTGTTCCGAACATTATATACGAAATTTGAAACCGAATATCGGAAGGAACCGTTTTATAGGGGATGTATGATATCATGTACTCACAAGGAACTCCATGTGAAGAATTTAAGGCAATTTCATTGAAAATATGACTAAAATCATCAAAACACCGAATATCGGGGTGTACCGTTATATGGGGGCTATACGGTATCGTGGACCGATATAGTCCATCTTCGAACTTAACCAGCCTGCAGACAAAAGACAGATCTGTGCAAAATTTTAGCTTCCTATCTTAATTCGTTTTGACTGTAGCGTGATTACGGAAGGGCTGCCGATCGGACGTACAGGCCTAAATCGTCTTATAATTTTACGCTGATCGAGAATACTTATACTTTGTTATGTCTAAAATGATAATTTCCACGAGTTACAAACTGAATGACGAACTTAATATACTCTACATACTATGTATGGTGGAGGGTATAAAAATTCCAGTGCTACTACTGTTTTATATATTTACATCGAAACATCGAAAAATTTAAAGGGAAACCTAAAATTCAACCCCATATTCGAAGAATTACGATTTCCTTCTTCAAGAAAAAGCCTTCTTGCAAAAAAAAATTCTTTAGCTCTCTCTATGTTAATATATTTCTTGTTTTACGGTTACGGCAAAAAACCAAAATGTGATGAGTAACTACGGTAACAGTAACGGTTATGGCTATGGTGTTATGGTATTTCACAGTTTTATTTAGTTATTTGACGTTTAATTTAGAAATAAGAGATGACAAAAAAAATTGACTTTTGCCAGACGTCAGTTGGCGCCCAAGCATACCTTGTAACCACTCTCAAGGTCACAAATTTATTGATATTCAGCTTAAATTTTTCCATACAGTTAAGCTCCTTCCGGTGACTGCTGGTAATGCATCCCAGCAAATATTTCTTTATTACGTGACCCATTGTAGCGGCTAAGGACTAGTAACAACATTGTAATGCAGTTATGGACCATGTTATTGTCAAAAAATTTTTCTTGTTAAGGCAGGGGTTCATATATTATCGCTTGTACATAAAGTTACTGTGGTTTTGCAGGCAAACTTCTAAGGTTAGCCATAGAGTTAAGACTTGGAGTAGTCTACTTTTGGTGTAATGCAAATCAGGGTTATATGGTCAGGCCAGGCGATTGTTAGGTTTTTTAGGGCTTTTGAGTTAGTTTTGGAGTAGTTCTTGTCTGTATTGGACTATCAATTCCGTAAAACATTTTAAATTTTTGGTCCACTACTATGCTCACATTAAACCGTCAGATTTTGGAGGATATTACATACACTCCGCCATGGATATATTAATTTTGTCATTCCGTTCGCAAAACCTCGAAATATTCGTCGGAGACCCAATAACGTATACATTATCTTGATCAGCTTAAAATTCTAAGTCGATTTAACGAAGTCTAATCCTCTCTTAAAATCAATTAATCAATAATTAAAGATAAATGAATGAAATTTGGCATATGAATTTTCAGTACCTCTTAATATTCGGTATTTTGAAAGTTTTGGCCACAATTTCCAAACGAATTGGTTATAATTTTTAATTTCGTGTTTTCATTGAGTAGAGACTCGCTCTACGAAAATTATTTAATGTTGGCCTATGTATTGACAGATTGCACCTTAAAGCGATACTAGGCGATATTATATATTTTGGCACTGGTCTTAAAAGGGCATAAAAAGTTCGGTCCGGCCAAATTTAATGCCGTTTTTACTTGTTATTATTATGGTTATAAGAATCATTATTATCTTGCTGCCCAATCATTTTACTTTGAGTTTACATTATGGCCAGCTTACTAGATATTTTATTTAATGTAAAGGCTTAAGCCTCAATTAAATTCTGCAAGCGTAGCCAAATATCGTTTCAGTGCATGCTAAACTTTTTTTCTTGAAATCAAAATTTAGAAATTCGAATTCCATTGTCGTATTGTGGCGTATACTTTACAAACATTCTCATACGCCAAGGTGTTCGATGTGGAAATTTTTTTTTAGGTATGTGTGCGTGTTTCAAATTATTAAAAATACCTTTTAAAATACAAATACCTTTTATTTTCATAAAATATAATATTCCATGAAAATCTATACTCTCCCATCTTACCAATGCTCTGTGTTTTTTTTCTATAATCTATTTACGATTATTTAATACCATTTATTATCATTGGCTTTTTCGTTTGTTGTTTTATTTCGAGTCATATAATGTGAAAATTATAATTTAATCGTTTCTTAATGCGCCGTATAAAACACATACTCTGGCATACACCAACACGCACAGACACACACACACAAAGGACTTACACACATTTAACTACACAAACATACCTAGGCCAATTTTGCGTTTGAAATGTGGGAACAAAATAACGACAAGAGGTAACAAAAACAACAACACTCTCATATTTTGTTGTTTTACACTTCACAGACACATAAAAAATATATACATTTATGGTAATGGGAAAGGAGAACTCCCTGGCCAAATGCCTCCCACTTTTGACAAGGTTTATCTAAAAACAGCCACCGTTCAAAGAAAAACTCCAAAATCCAACACGTTTTTGTTGTCGGCTATGGCTGAATGTAGCCTTCGCGTGTGTATGTATGTGTATGTGTGGGTATTGCATAAAGGATACATTTGGGTAGAAATTTAACACAAACACGAACACACACAAACGGGAAAATACATAAATATTGTTGTTTTTGTTTATTTCCTGACATTCTTGCTTCTCCGTTTTCTTTTTTTTTTTTTTGTATTCTCTTTGTTGCCTTTTTATGTTTGCTTTCCTATTTTGTTTTTGTTGGGGCCAACTTTGTTTTGGGAAAATTTTGTTTGCTCTCTCTTAGCCAAACACACGCACACACACATTGATGCACACAAATACCAACAAAAGTATGTTGGCAAAACAATGTCTTTGGGTTCCGTAATCACAGGCCAAGAGGATACAACAGCAAACACTCTCTAAGACTCAATGAGTATGAAACACTCTCGCAATAGATTAAAAAAAAAGCCGCATGGAGCTCTCGCTCTCAGCCACACACTCTCATACAAAAGTGTTTAAAACCAAACAAAGTTCAAATTGGAGCTTCTCAATGTTCTTAATTCTCATTCACTCTGGGTCCCATTGGATCTCACTCTTACCGTCTCTCTCTCCCTTCCCCAACAAACATACATACATAATTCTGACAATCATGAATGCTTCTTCTTATTTTTAAGCTCAGTTTAAATTTGTAAGCATAAATGTGTATCATTTATGGTACCGCTGGTAGTTTAAAGCTTTTTCTTGTAGGTTGGGATAACCAAAAGGACCAACATGGAGTAATCGTTCCTACACCCTTCCTCCTCCCTCTTCTTCGATAGATTATACACAGACACATATTTATTTTTGTGTTAGCGATAGGGATATTGTAGTGTGTATGTATATATATATATATATAACGGCCATAGCGTAATAGTAAAGCTTAGAGCCAGGAAAAAAATCGCATAATTATTATAACCAAAGCAGAGTTTAGATATTTCCCAAAGGATTTCATTTCATACTTTATTTTTCTTTCTTCATCACTTTCGTTTCATTTTTATACACTTTAATTTACATTTTTCATTTGCTCAATTCGTGGAATTTTATAATTCTTCACATTATTCCTTAGATTGCTTGCATCATTTTCTTTCTTTTCTGGCACTGGAACCAACAACAAAACACCAACACCACTAATTTGGGATGTGCCACACGAAACGCGTTAGGACGCGCTTTAGAGCGCTTTTAGGAACCGTTTTCATCGAATGTTGCGTATCAACTAAAAAAATTCCGATACATGCGCTTTCTCCCGTTTTCTTCCTGACGTTTAACTTTGGCCGTGAGTCTATGTGTCTGTGTGTTTTTGGTAGCTATGCTAAGGATATGGTATGTGTATGTACTACTCAAGTTATCAGACTGATGGTATATATGGCGGAGAGAGAGAGAGAGATAGAAAAAGAGAATAATGCGTATGAGAGAACTTTCAAAGCATATTTATGCAGTAATCGTGGTATAAAGCTTGCCTCTTCCCCAACATATGTGGGGATGTGGTGAAAAGCTTTTGTTTATTCAACAACTGGTCGAAGGTGAATTGTGACAAAGTACAGTGGTAAAAATGTGGAGTATGTTTAAATGAAAAATAAATGAATAATATTTTCTGTCCAAACAGGAGACCATAATACTATAAAAATACAATTCCTTAAAGATTTTTATTAAAATTGAAGGGATTTACAGTCTCCCATAGGAATGCAAGTTCTGTAAAGTCTCCTACAGGAATAGAATATCATTAAATCGTAGGTGGCATTTAAAATTATGGAAAGTTTCATATACGGGGTGAGATGAAAAAACTGCAACCAACTGCAGACTGCTGTCATTTCTAAGCCACTCGTCCGACAAATGTTAAAATTATTCCGGTGACAGCACATTATATTGTTTACTAGCGTAAAAAAGCATTTTGGAATGGGCCAAAATATCGCAGAGCAACATTCGGGCAGCGTGTGACGGTTTCATTGGCTGTTTGAAGGCCATGATTCGTGCCAAAGGTGACCAATTCGAACAAATCTAAACTTATTCTAAAATTTGATGCTTTTCCGATATTTTTTGCTTCCATTCAATAAAATTTAAAAATTATGGCGTTTGACTTTATTGCAGTTTTTTTTATTTCACCCTGTATACCTTTAATGTCTGCTTTAGGACCAGAGGACATTGAAGGTCTCCTAAACGAATAGAAGACCTTAAAGGTCTATAGGGACAGTAGACCATTAAGATTTCAATAGGAATATAAAATCTTTAAGATCCCCTATACGAATAGAAGTCCTAAAGGGTCTTCTATAAAAATCCTTTAAGGTTTATTGTAGGAAAAGAAGACCCTTAAAGTCTCCTGTCGGAAAAAAATACCCTTGAGGTCTCCTATAGGAAAAAAAGACCCTTAAAGTCTTTTATAGAAATAGAAGATAAATAGAAGGTCTTGCATGTCTCCTATGCGAATAGAAGAAAAATAGAAGATCTTTAGGTCTTCCATACGAATATAATAATTTTAGGCCTATACGAATGTAATACTTCTAAGATCTCCTATACGAATAAAAGAATTGGAGGTCCAATATACGAATAGAATACCTCTAAGGTCACCTATACGAATAGAAGACTTTAAGGAACTCCTTTAGGAATAGAACAGTTTTAGGGTCTCCTATAGGAATAGAAATCCCTCAAGGAATAGAAGACCTTTAAAGTCTCCTATAGAGATAGAAGACAAATAGAATACCTTTAAGGTCTTCTATGCCAATAGAAGACTTTTAAGGTCCCCTTTTTTAACAGAGGTCTTCTGTGTCAATAGAAGTCTTTTAGAAGTAGTGGAAGACTTTTAAAGTATCTTATGTCAGTATAGTCTTGGTCTCCTAGGCCAATAGAAGACTTTTAAGGTCCCCTATTTCAACAGAGGTCTCCTATGACAATAGAAGTCTTTTGAAGATTTTTAAGGTCTTTTATGTCAGTATAGAAGACCATTAAGGTCTTCTATGCCAATATAAGACTTATAAGGTCCCCTATTTCCACAGTTGTCTCCAATGTCAATAGAAGTCGTTTAAGGTTTCTTACGTCAGTATAGAAGACATTTAAGGTCTCCTAGACTATTAAGGTCCCCTTTGTCATTAGAGGTCTCCTATGTCAATAGAAGACCTTAAAGTTCTCTTATGCCAAAAGATGATCCTAAAGTTATTTTCTTTTAATAAAAGGATATTAAAATCTCCCGTGTCATTAGAATACCTTAAAGATATCCTATGCTTGTAGAAGACATTTGAAACATCCTATTCTTATAGAAGACTTTTAAGTTCTCCTATGTCAATAAAAGACCATTATCCATTGAAGACCTTTAAGACGTTTTCTGAGGTCACCTACGATAATAAAGGACTTTTAAGTCTTCTTTAAATTTTGAATAGAAGACCTTTATGTTGTCCAATGTGAATGGTATTTTATTATTTATTTTTGTTACTACTTCTGGCCAACCTAATGTAGCAAAACAGCTTTCAGTATTCCAAACTCACCACATGCATCAATCAAAAGCTGCATTTTTTAAAAAAAGCTGCTTTCTTCAAGGAATTCATCAAATATGTAGCTTTTTGCACTTTCATTGAGAGAAACTTTTTGTGTGCTGTGGTGAAAATGTTGGTGTCTCCCATTCGAGGGGTCATAAATAACTTTGGACACGTACTAAATTATGTTTAACAATAACAATAATACACCACACCATGGCACCAATACAACCAACAACCACAATTTATGTCATGAGTTGGAGCTCTGGGTGTTGCTCTCATCAGCTCATTATTAGGCACTTCACACAAGAAACAAAACCGATTTAAGAGCACAAGGAAGTTTGGTCAGAGTTAAAGGACAAAATCCCTACTCAAACGAGCGGAGCAAAAGCTTTTATGGGATTCCCTAATAGCCAATAAAACCTTCACTCCCAAAGGAAGAGGCCAACACCAAAAATAATGGATAGATATTGTAGACGTCATAGACCAAGGAAAAAACAACAACAAAAAAACTAACAAAAGGTATGCGCCTGTAGCATGAATGTGTGTGAGCGGGTTTTCGAACTTTTATTTTGATTTTTATGTTGCTGGCAAATTCTCGGAAACTTATTAGTGTTGGGGCCGTGTTGTACTTGAAAGCCATGAAATCAGGAAGAGAATGAGAAAACCAAAAAACGTGTAGAGGACCAAGCCAGGAAGGATAGTAAAGTTGTGGCCTTAAAATTGAGAAAGTGTGTGTGCGTCAGTGTGTCTGTGTTTGAGAGAGGGACAGAAGGCAACAATAGCAAAGGCCAACGATATTTGATGGAGAAGTTTTTTTGTTGTTTTTTTTAGCCAAAGCAACGACGCTTGGCTAGATGGATGGATGGCTTTTGATATACAATAACCAAATCTGGATATGACACATGACACAGACGATTTGCTGTTTTTGTTGTTATTTTTGACTTCTGTTCTGAGTTGGGTATAAAAATATACTTTGGAATTAAGAGAGGTAGACGGACGAAAACACCACATCATAAATTTGTCCATCGAATCGTCCATACAGCCATCAACTCAAGGTCACTTTGCTGGCCATCAAATTACTCTAGGTGCTAATAATAAATAAATCATTTATCGACTTTGTATTCGGCGCGTGTATTATTCGGGGTTGAATAAATATACCCCTGAAAACCACAATTGGTAGCCATAACCACAATGTCCATTAAAACCACATTTACCATGCTAAAGGAAATGGCCGACTAATAAGTAAGTACAGGATTAATAGGAGTTATTGGAAATGTATTTGTTGTGTGTTCGATGCGGGTTGTTGTAAGCCCCATTAAAATGGGCCTACGGGAGAAGGAGGGTGGTGAGCATTTTCACTAAGAGTTTGGAATGGTTAAAGTGTGGAGTGGAAACTAGAATCTGGAGGCTTACAAGTTATTAAACATATTCTTCAGGAAGATCAATGTACAAAATGGAGGTAAAGTATTCTTAATAATAATGGAAGAGGCAATATAAGACCTTTAAGAACTTTTATGCGAAAATAATACTTTTAAGGTCCTACAACAGAATAATACTTCCAGGAGAATAGAAATCCTCCTATAAGAGTAGAAAACCTGCAAATATTTTTCTTAAACGAAGAGAAGGCCCTTAAGGACTCATATGCGAATAGAAGACTTACGAGGCCCTTTATACGAATTGAATACGTTTCAGGTCTCATATACAAATATAAAATATTAAAGGTCAGTCATACGAATACAGGGTGGGATGAAAAAACTGCAACCAACTTCAGACTGCTGTCATTTCTAAGATACTCGTCCGACAAAGCGATTTGAATTAATCCGCGTCGTAGTGGCCGAAAAATGGCTCGTGAGTTGAACAAATCGCAATATTCCATTCGGCAAATATTGAAAAATGAGCTCGGGGTAAAGCCATTGAAATTCCAAAATGGGCAAGAACTTACAAGAGTTTTTCGCTTGGCCGAAATTGGTGAAGTGCCGAATTTGGTTTTCTCCGATGAGAAAACATTCGTTGTCCAGCAGTTTGTCAACAAACAAAATGATCGTGTTTACTTGCCAAAGAGGTCAGCTGAAAATGTGCACCTTCGTTTGGCCACCAGAACTCAAGCGCTGGCCATGGTGATGGTGTGGACCGCCATAACAGCCGATGGCCACTCTCCGCTCGTATTAATCGACCGTGGCATCAGAATAAATGCCGAATATTATCGCGAAATTATTCTGGAGGGTGTATTAAAGCCTTGGACACGCAAACATTTCGGGAATGGGCCAAAATATCACAGAGCAATATTCGGGCAGCGTGTGACGGTTTCATTGGCCGTTTGAAGGCCATAATTCGTGCCAAAGGTGACCAATTCGAACAAATCTAAACTCATTCTAAAATTTGATGCTATCTCCGACATTTTTTTGATTTCATTCAATAAAATTAAAAAAAAAAAAATGTAAAAATTATAGCGTTTGACTTTGTTGCGGTTTTTTTATCTCACCGTTATACGAATGGAAGACCCTCGAGGTCGAGGTATATGATCTTCAAAGTAAGGTAAGGCCTCTTATATGAATAGCACATCTTTTAGGTCTGCCATACGAATAGAACATCTTCAAGGTCTGCTATACGAATAGGAGATCTGCCAGAACTTCCAGGTCTCCTATGCCAATAGAAGAACTTCAAGGTCTCCTACGCGAATAGAATAACTTCAAGGTCTCCTTTGCGAATAGAAAACTTTAAAGGTCTCCTATACGAAAAGAGGACATTTAAGGTGTCCTATACAAATAAAAGAACTTCAATTCTTCCTTTGCGAATAGACCATCAAGATGTCCTATGCAAATTCGAGATCGTTAAGGA